AGGCCTGCCAGCTCATGAGCAAGAATCCTTAATCGCTACCAATGAAGGACAATATGTGGAATATATTCAACATTCCTTAATAGGTATGAGTTTTACACTCAGCACATTTTCCTAGACCACACCAAGAAACCGAGAGATGTTTGTAAAAACTCCTAGTACGTACCTGCAAATTCAAAATTTATCACAACTGGACTAAAACTAAAAAGGCAAAATACCCCAACTAACATAACACAGTTTGCTTTTGCAGATGGATTTAATTGAGCAGTAGAGGCTCTGAGTGTATCACCCCAAACTGAAAATGCCTATGAAGCGCTGTATCTATGGTAAGAGCTTAACCACAGCCCTTATGACAGAGTCTTAGGACAAAGCACTGATATTATGGAAGCATTGGTATCCTGTGCCGCTTCTGGACATTCAAATCTACTTCATATTTTTCAGCAGTGGACATCTTTGTTATTTATCTTACTACATGTTACACTGACATAAGCTCAACCTCATGATGTACAAAAATATTTCTAAAAATATCAAGATAGCTTTTTTTAATCAGCTCTTTTTTCTCTAATAATTAACATCTTTACAAGTTTGTAAGATAGACTGCTGGCAATTATCTCTAATTATAAAAAAGCTCTATAATGCTGATTACTATATAATTTTAATAAATGTTCTAGGACCTAAACATTTGTTATTCTCTTATGCAAGTCCTTCATTTGCATTTTACATGGACTTTTACTTCCAAGTTTTTAGAATTTTTATATTTAATTATTTCTACATTTTGCTTTATGATTTTTAGAACCGAACTGTTTGGTCCTCATTCATGGTGGGAACAGATTCTGGACAGGGACTACAGTTTTGCTTTACATCTGCACCCGTATTAGGTGCTCACTGGTTTCTACCAGCATGTTTCAAAGTAAGCATGTCAATTCCCATTCAATTTTATGTTGGTAAAGCGTTAATAAAGTGTTAAAAAAGAGGTAACCAATGTCTTAAAGAAATTTTTCCAACCCCAGTTGCTAACATACTTGTACACAGTCATTAATCTGTCTACACTTTAAATTCCAGAATTATTTTAACTCCTGAAATGTAGGCAACCACTGACTGGTTCCATAGCATTCTGAAAAGACATGGTTATACACCAATCCATTCTACTCTGTCCTCAGAATGCCACAACTGATATTGTGCAGTTGCAAGGAAGGGGAAACTATGAAACAGCAAGAAGGAGTATGGTCCTGGAGCATTAATGGCTATTAATTCTCAAGATACATGCATTACTGCTATTAGTTATGTATTTTCACATGTGAAATCAGCTTAATGTAAAAGTTGTGAAGTAATGCCATGAACAAATTAATCATATCGACTCTTCGAAACTAGAAACCTAGAAATAAAACATAGTCTGGTATTTATACAATGGGCCAATACCCCTGCAATTGTATAACAGTATTAGTGTATTAAGTTAATGAGATCAAGTGATGCAATACAGAAGTGGCTGTCCTAAGTTTTCATGCTGGTAGAAAAAACAATTATTCTTACCAGAACATTAAAGAAGGAAGTAGCTATAAGTTAAAGTGAACAGTGTCCCACTTACTGCCATCATCAGAAATACATGTAATCAAACTGCAGCAGTTTTAGATTTATACTTTCTGTACTACAGAGGCTTTATTCTGCAAAGGAAATACATGAGTGCGGCTGAGACTGTATATGAAATATTGGAAGGATACAGTATGTAATTTTAACTAGAATAACCATATTACTTCCTCTACTCCTTACCATTAGTCTCCTCATTCTTTCTTTCTCGATTCTCTCAGTTTCTTTTTTCTGCTCACGCTCAGTGTTGGCATGCCAAGTTGCCACAGCTTTAGAAAGTTTCTGAATTTTCCCAGCAACTGACCGGTGGTATTCTTTAAAATCTTTAGCATGCTGCAATATGCTATTCAGGTACTCCTAGAAGGAGAAACAAGTTAGTGTAGACACTTGGAAAACACAGGATTTGCAATCAGGAAAACAAAAGTTCTAACCTTACCATTTTCCAATTGCTTATCACAAAATTTTGATGTTTTTTCATCTTAGAAACTTCAAAGGTAAATAAAATATATAATAGAGAAGATCCTCAGAGCAAAGCAATGTGCCTTTCTGTCACAGGGCAAACAGCAAACAAGTTAAAATACCTGATGCTTCTGCCTACGCTTCCTCTCTTGTTCTATCTTCTGCTGCTTCTCAAGCTTTTCTGTCATACGGGCCTCCCTCAAAGTCTGGCGTTTGCTTCGTTTGTAGGCTTTGGAGTTCAGTGCTGTCTCCAGCGTTGTGTCACGACGCATGCAGGCTACTACCTCTTGTCTTAGCTACCAGTGGGGAAAAAACACTTTAAAAAAATAATTTTTAATACACGGAGGAACAACTTTAACACTGGTATGGCACATTTAACAGTAACAGTCCAGAAGATGTCCCAGCCTATGCAGTTGCAGCAGCTATGTCTGTCTCCCTAAACAAATCTCAAGTCTCCACAGGATGCCCAAAAGTGTTAATCACTCTTAACCATCATTTATTTCTTCTTTGCAAGATACTGCAATGACTGCCCTGCTACAATGAAAGGGGCTAGCCAAGATGTTACACCATGAAGTAAAACACGAATGAACACCACACGTAGCATACTTTCTAGAGCTGGATCTGAACACAGCTGACAACTTGTTTCATTGCCAGCTGCACAGGTAACAGCAGGGAGAGGTAAATGTTAAGGGCTTGGAGCAGCATCACCACAGTCCCAGCAGTACAGCAGGGAGAGCCTGCTGCTTTTCATCTCACCTCTGACAAAACTTTATTAGAAAGAAGTGCCAAAGGTAGAGGGAAGGACAATTTGGACATCATGATGATGCAACTACTGCCAAAGCTTCTGTCAGGAAGTACTTTTGCTTGACCTGCCAAATTGCATCTTTGTTCTTCCAAACTAGCTGAAAAAGCCAACAGCAAGAGGCCCGTAAGAGTCTGGCAGTGCAATTCCTTTTCTGAAATTCATTTGCTGATACATGCACTCAACATCCAACTTTTATCTTATGTATGATCTTGTTATGCTTAATTTTCAAGTCTGTGTGCTGTAGTGGAAATGCTGAAAACAGATCACAGAGATATACCACATGCAAGACCGACATACAACTCTTCCTAAAACAAGGGGACCCATGACAAATATGACGTATGTCCAGAAAGAACCATCTATTAGGATTTGTGTTGAAAAAAATCAGCTTGCAGCCTGTCCAGCTCCTGTTTTACTTTTGTGCCAATGATATGTTCATTATGAAAGACACAGTTCTATGGTTGCACTTTAGACTGGAAAATAAAGCAGGAAGTGAAAAACACACTTGTACATTTTTATTAACAAAACAAAATCTAAGCTACATTTCTGTGACTTGATTATTGGTCAAGTTTGCTTTTATACAAAATCTGCTTAGGCTCACTGTAGCTGCAAAATCTCTTGCCAGTTTACTCTTTGTCACATGAACACGTTTGGCTGTGACCTCTATGAAAATTTCCTGAAGCAAAAGGCATTACCTGGCGCTGGAAATTCAGTAACCTAAGTGCCTTCAACTCCACTGTAGCTTTGGTTCGCAGATCAGGAGGCAGAGAACCAGGCAAGTTCTCCAGTTCCTGGATTCTGTGAGCAATTCGAGCCTGAAGCCTGATTAAATAGAAAATTGGATAAGACACCAGGAGAAATCTGTAAGTGGTTGTCAAAATTATGCAGTAACTACACAGCATTTTTTCTTTTACTAATTGTTTCTGAACTAACAGGTTTTTGCAGAGATGACATTAGGTACCCTTTTCCACTTTGAAAATAAATTGTCAAATAATGAAAACACTCCTTGGACCTTTTTTCAATTTTGACTAAAAGTATATGCATGAAAAGAAATTTGGGAATTTTATTTTACTCATACTATACAGGATTCTGTTTTTAAACTTCCTTGATGGGTATTTTTTTTATGCACAGTGTAGTCAGTGATAACACAGACAGAACTTACCTTAATATCTGGAATGCTACTTGCTTATTTTATTGACAAATTAAAAGTTCATTAGTAAAGTATTCACACTTACATAGTTGTTACACTATAAATCAGATTCTATTTCACTCTTCCTTTACAAGTTCCTTTTGCATTCATTTGCAAATTCAAGAGAGAGAGAAAGAGAGAATAATGGACAAGCCAGACAGAACTCATCTTTTTCTTTTTTTCACATTGAAAACCAAGATCACAGAGCTAACAGTTAGATACTTTTTGTGTTTTTATTTACAAGTAAGTACTTCTTTGAAATGAGAATTTTACTAAGGCACTAAAATAACAGATCCCAAAATTTTAAGTTATCCAAAAGCTGCATCTGAGTTCAAACTGAAACAGTGCCCTCCATTTCCCACATGCTTTAGGAAAAAAAACAACAGAACAACCAACAAATAAAACCCAACCAAAATCAAACACACACTCCCAAAACCAGAGAGTCCTCTCTCTCCCAAAATCAAAAACTGAAAGGCCCAGGAACAGTAAAGTATCTCATCTGCCTGTACTACACAGGACCCACAAAATTTCCTTTTTTTTTTTTCACATTAGGAAAAGGTGTCTGCTGCTGTTTTCCCGCAATGAGGACACTGTAACTGCCATGAAGGGTGAAAGAAAACACTTTCTCTAGGGCTTCTTCACATACAGTGATTATTCTTCCCCTGCCCTTTTGCCCCCTCATCACTCCACAGTATTAGCACAGTGATATAAACTCTCACACACTCGGCACATCAGCCTCACAGCTGGAAAGCAGACCATACGTCTGGCAAAATGGCTACACCTGATATATGGAGCCAGAACAAATAAAAATACTAGTATCTCACAGCAACTGCATGCATCATGACTTGTATAATCTGAAAAGCAACTGGAATCACTTGTACAGTTGCAGACAGTATCTATTCTGTAACAGCACTCCTTCCTAAAACTATGCATTTTTTTATATTACCAAAAGACTTCTTAAGTTCCTGGAACAACAAGAAGAAAATAAAGCTGCATTACTGCAGAAGACTAACTTAGTATCCTCAAAAGAGGAAAAATTTGAAGAATACTTAAGTTAGTTAAGTTTTTCATATAGACTGAAAAATAAATCAGGAAGGGTTACTTCCTAATAAAAGAAAATTCCACTGGAAGCTACGGATACTGTCCAGGCCCACAAAAGTTCATGATTCTTGCAGGAAAATTATTCGTTCTGAAAATGACATTGGCGTATCTCGTTCTTTCAAGTGTAGGTACTACACTAAAAGAAGTCCACATTTTGTACAACTTCACCTGTCACTGTGCATTCCAGCTATTAAGAAGAGTTTTTAGTGTACTTAAGGATGCAAAATCTTGAGAATTAAGAAGTTTTCTTGGAGACTGGATGTACTACAGTATATCCATACAAAAAAACAGGTAAGATGCACAAAGAGAATACTGTTCTAAATCACTGATGGGTGCTCTGCCTGTTGCTTATTCACACATGGATGTAATCATGCACCACAACTATGATTTATTACTCTATTTCACTCCCCAAATAGCTGCAATGCTTCTCCTGAAACCATAACCTACATAACAGTTATAGTTAAATCCCAGTTTCACAGATTTAAATAAAACTTTAGGCGTGGAGTCACAACCTTTCCAAACTTCTTTTTTTGAGCTGTGAACTTAGTAAGGCAGCTGAATACTGAACATATTTTCAATTTTTTTTCTGTGACCACTGAATGCTCCTTCTTGTACTATACAAGAGGATGGGTACAAAAAGTTAACCTAGGTTACTCCCAATATATCTTATGGTTTTAGGTAACTAAATGGATGAATCCCTGTGCAAACAAACATGAAGTGAAACGTTCACTTACTAGTTCTGCCAGAACTAGCTTGTTACTTTAACTCTAGGTATAAAATAGGCTTAAGTGCCTGCTGACGTAGAAGTTTACACAGTAGAAATTAGAGCCAAAGCTGGACTGGGGTTTCTATTTCTATTGTATAAATTATTAATAGAAATCCAAATATACAACTTTCTTGAGATATGACTAAACATAATGCAAGCTTATACAGTGTATTTATTATGTCCTTTCATCACACTAAGCAGTCCACCCCCATATACACAGTGCTAATCATCTTGTTTGTTTTCCTCAACTCAGGTTTATAGAAAGGCTGATCAGGAATAAATGCAGATGAAATTTTATCATTGAATTATAAGGCAGGTTAGTATTGCCAGGATAATTTTTCCTCCAATTTTTTTCCTCCATATGTTGAAATGACTGCAAAAACAGAAGTCTGCACTGAGCTACAAATAATGACACTTCTACAGTTTTGTGGTGATCACCCTCCTCTTATAATCCAGCCAGAGGGATGAAACAGAGAAAAAAAAAAACCCAAACAGTATTTCTAAGTCAGTACAGATACTACCTCAAAAAACCCTCACTGAAAATCAAGTCTATCCTCTATTAAAATAAAGCCCTGGTCAAAAAAAGTTTGAATACTAATGAAAATCTACAGTACGCATACGGAACTATAATGAAAAATGGCAATCAGATAGGTTACATATAAGTAAGCACTTTTAAGTATCAATTATATTGCCTAGGGCATTGACAGTAGTAGTAATAGTCCTACTTCTTTGTTAAGTAGTCAGTAGGATTTTCGAAAGATTTTCCTGACAGACATCCCAACTCAAGTGAATGCAACAATTACTTGAGGTGTTTCCTACCACAGCCACCTTCTAGTCTTTAAAAAGAAAGACTACAGTTGGCTGGACTATTGCTATCTTCATGAAAAAATACTAACAGCTATTAGGTAAACAAACCCAAAGAAAAAAGTTTCACAGATGCTTTTCACAAACACTTGAAGGATATAATCTCACCGTCTAAGTGATTTATTTTATTAATCTTTGCAGTTCAGCAATTTATCTTCATCCATGCAGGAAGTGGTGCATCTACACATCTCTGCAAAACAAGTGATTCACACCTCTTCCTTATTAACTGGGGTCAACAGCAGAGGTTATGCTTGCACATTCAAACCTGTCTGGCATAGATGCATGCAGTAAGCCATGAAGATATGTAAGAGACTTTGCAGATAACAGAAAGAAACCACAGACAATCTACAGGACACTAGCAAGTGTGAGTTTTTTTTAATTAGCAATGAGAAGGTGGAAAAAAGCCCTTCCACATAATAGAACAACTTTAAATTACACACATTATTAGCTTTAAGATTAGCTTATTCAGTAAGATTAGAAAGCAACACTTTATTTTGAAGAAAGTGTTACGGAGAGTTTTATAAAAGCATGGTATGAATTTTCCATTCTGGCCAGATTTCAAGAAACACAACAAGTTTAACAGTTCTCCACATATGAATAACTTAAACGTCTTATATTAATAAGAATTTTAAATATATACGTTTCTTTTTATCCACCTTTAGTCACACAGAGATTAACAATTATCATATAATCTCATCTCAAACCAACATATGCTGCAAACAGCTTCTGAGCACAACCATGTGACTTTGACAGTGACATTAACTCTCCATTTTCTTTCTCTTTGTTAATATAAGCTGGAGCCTTTTTTTATAATCAGCTCAAGGCTTTTCAGAGAAAATGCAATCTGCCGATTTTTCATTAGATTTAAAGCTTTTTCAGATCCTGCCATATATTAATAGGTGCATTACTGCTTCTCCATCTGTACTCGTCTATTTAACACATAGTTAATGAATAGGAATGCTATACTGTACTTCTAAGTGCCTATTTGATGAATTTTTTGATGAAACAAACCACGTAGCTTCCTAGTAACAAGGAAAGGAAAAAAGAATTGCTATCACTGAAAAAAAAAAATTAGATATAATTTTGTAACAGCAAAACCCAAAGTATTTCACGTTTACCATATTAACTTTTTGGCATGTAGCTCATGAATTAGCACTAAATTACTGTCTCCCCAAGCAGCACACTTCGCACCTTTAGTCCAAAACCACAATGTTCAAGGTCACTGTTGTGATTTAACCCTGGCCAGCAACTAACAACCACACAGCCACTCGCTCACTGCTACCCCTGCCCCTGGTGGGATGGGGGGAGTAATTGGAAGGGGAAAGGAAGAAACAAGCTCATGGGCTGAGATAAAAACAGTTTAATAATTAAAAAGAAATATTTTTTTTAATTATAAGGAAAAGGGAGAAAAAAATACAGAGAGAGGAAAACACAACTCAAGACAAGCAATGCAAATGAGAACAATTGCTCATCAGCAACTGACCAATGCCCAGCCAGTCCCTGAGCAGCAGGCCCACACCAACCTCCCCCCCAGTTTTACTGCTGTGCATGATGATGTGCTATGGTATGGAATATCCCTTTGGTCAGTTGGGGTCAGCTGTCTCAGCTATGTCTCCTCTCAACTTTTCATGTACTCCCAGCCTACTCGCTGGTGGGATGGTGTGAGGAACAGAAAAAGCCCTGACACTTTCTAAGCACTGCTCAGCAGCAACTAAAACATCACTATTTTCATCACAGCCCCACACAAACCACTATGAAGAAATGTAACTCTATCCCAGCCAAAACCAGTACAATCACTGAGTAAACCTAATCTGTAATTTTCAAGAATTCCTAAGTTAACCAGATTCAAAGCTCATACTTTCCCACAATAAGGCAATATACCAAAATTTTACCGTTTGGGTT